TATGAGTTTCTGTGTATTCAATTAAGAGTTTCTGTGTATCCAGTTAAGAGTTTATGTGTATTCAGTTAATAGTTTCTATGTATTTAGTTAAGAGTTTTTGTGTATTCAGTTAAGAGTTTCTGTGTATTCAGTTAAGAGTTTCTGTGTATTATGCATCATGTTGGATTATATGTATTCAATTATGAGTTTTTGTGTATTCTGTTATGAGTATATGTGTATTCGAAACAGATGATTTTTTTTTTTAGACAATGCACCAAAACAACGTCGTTTTGGGTAGGGCGGGGCGCACTGGTGCACGATATAACGACGGATTGCAATTTTCTCCTTTGTTGGATTGCAATTCATGGAGTACCCGCGTTTGGTTGTGTGTAATTTAGTTGTAATTGAATTGTAATTCAATGAAGGCTTCAATTACATTGTTTGGTTGGAGGGAATTGCAATTCTCTCCTTTTGTTGAATTGCAATTCAATGCTTGTGGGAAAGAAAAAATGGAAGAAATGACAAAAATACCCTTGTTGATTGTTATTATTATTATTACACAATGACATATTAGTCTTTTTACCACTTTTTCCTTCTCATCCCCAATAATTTTATTCCTCCATACCAAACAATTTAATTTGAATTCCTACACTATTCCTACCTTATTCTTTTCTCACCGAATTGCAATTCCTTAACTTCCTAATTCCTTCCTCCCAACCAAACACCCCTGAATTGCAATTCAATGCTTGTGGAAAAGAGAAAAATAGAAGAAATGACAAAAGTATCATGGGTGATTGTTATTATTATTACACAAAAACATTTTAGTCTTTATACTACTTTTTTCCTTCTCATCCCTAATAATTCTATTCTTTCCTACCAAACAATGTAATTTGAATTCTTACATTATTCCTACCTTATTCTTTTCCCACCAAATTACAATTCATTTCCTTCCTTTAACCAAACACCCCACTATCTAAAATTTATACATGTCTTAGCAATTAGCATCGATGAAATCAAGAAGGCAAGAAAGCAGCCTACTCATCAACAATTAACAAGTAACATTATGTTCAGAAAATCACAGTTCAAGTGTTCAACACTTCAACATTATGTTCACGGTTCACAGAATCACAAAGCTTAGTTACTAAAAATTGTTTAGTGTGAAATTGCGAATGTGAGAGGGAGGAGTGATTAGTGAAGGACGAACCAGTGGAAGTGGAACCACAGTAACCAGCTGCCAACAGGGAGAGAGACCAGAGCGGCGGAGCTGGCAGCACGCAGGTCGCCGGGACGCCGTCAGAGACTTGGAGTTCGCAGTCGCTGGTCGGAGCCTCGGAGGTCGCTGGTCTTCCGCTTCCGACGTCTTCGCAGAGAGCCAGAAAGTGAGAGACAGAGAGATTAAGTGATTAGGAATTGTTCATTGTTCGACAGTTCGAAGAAGAAGACAAAGATCCGGGTTCAACCCTTTAGCCCGGATAAAATCTAGGTTAAACGGGCTGAGTTGGGATTTTCACCACCTAATTCAGTTAAAACACGGGCTACACGGGTCCAGGGATGGAGCCAGAATTTTCATTGAGTGGGGGCGAAGAAGCGAAGGTAAAATGAAAAAGAAAAAGAAATTCTTTGAGTGAAGTTGTTTCCACCATTTTTTTGAGCTAATTCATAAATACCATTCAATTTAGAGAAAAAAAAAATGCTTGGATAACAACTTGACTAGCTAACATCAAAATGTTTTAATGCTCGGGACCAAAGCCAATCACAGTTTAAACCGAAAACTATTGTTCCTCACTAACACAACCAATGCGTTTTAGTCATGCACTCATACTATAACTATATGGGAAAAACTTGCCTGTAATGTATCTAAAACATGGGATAAAATTTGCAAACATCATGCAAAAAAGCAACTCAACCATGAGCACTTAGACCACAATCCTCTACATGATACTTAAAGCCACAACTTTTGTTCTAAAAATTGCAAATTCACAAAGCAGTTTTACTAAAACATGAAAATGCAAATAAGGCAACGCATTATATTGTAATGAATTTCAACAAAACCAAAAAAATAATAATAACGAATTAAGCATATTACTATTTGCAATTTAGAAATGCATTTTTACTCAGTTAAAATTCCACAAAAATGTAATGAACACAACAGAAACAAATCCCATGCGCAGATATAAATATGAAAACATCAATGATTGAGACGAATTGGGAGATAAAATCCAGAAAAGCGAAAGTAATTAGGGCAAAATTCGCAAGTAATTAGGGAAAATGAAGTTAATGAACTGATCTACAGACTACAGATGTAACAGATCCAAGGGATTAGGGACGGACCGCGGCTGAAGAAGACTACTGTGGACTCATGGAGACGGTGGAGCTGACGGAGCTGCCGAGCTGCTGCCTGCTATGTTGTTCTTCTTCTCATGGACAGACGGACGGACGGAGATGACGGAGTGCGAATGCCTTCCACCCAGAACGGCCAGTGGTCGGCGGTGGCGACTTGCGATTTGCGAAGCAGAGCCGCAGAGGAGAGACCGAGAAGCAGAGCCGCGAAGCTGGAGCGTGGTCTACTGGTTTAGGAACAAATGAATTTTTTAATAAAAAAAAAAAAAAGTTATATATATACACATCCCCAAAACGACGTCGTTTTGGGGCTGTTTAATTTTTGACAATATGGCAGCTGCCCCTACTAACCCCATGACAGCTCCGTCTCTGCACGGGTCCAATTTGATGAGTTGAGCCTATTTTAATAGTTTTATCCTCTTTCTATGAATATGTGAAAATTAATCACAACCTTAGATATTGGTGTTGTGGGCGGTGGTGATTTATATGATTTTATAGTTTATTTAGTTTTGTTGGGTGGTTAAGTAAATTTTTAGTACATTTAAAATCTTTTAATTATTATTTTTGGGAGTTATGCATGATTGTGGGAGTAGCATTTTTGGTATATTAAGATTTTTTAACTTTCAATTTTTGACCACACTGGCATTTTGACCACACTCTCTCTAGAGATGGATTCTAGCTCTGCTGACCACCAGTTGACTGCCTCCCAACGGCTGCCGGAAACCCAAGATTTGTCCATCCGAAGTGCCAAGAAGTCGAAAAGGGACGCCTCTGTGCTAGAACCTTCATCTCCGCTCCGGGCAGCCTTGAGCTCACCGCGCCTAGATCTGCCTCCGCTAAGGCATTCCGTGCCAAACCCCCAAGAAACTGAAACTTGGGGAACTCCGCCTTCCTCCTTCACGCCCAATGTGGCTGGTGTTTGGGCACGAAGAAACAGAGCCCCATCCACAAATTTCACGGTGGCACCGGAAGACGATAAGGCTGATGATGATATAGACGATGATTGCCCAGTAGTTATAATCACAGATGAAGAAAAGGAGAGGATTAGAAGACCATGGCGGCGGTCGCTAATCATTCGTCTTCTAGGAAGGAGAATCGGATATGCGTACCTTCTACAACGCCTAAAAGCTATGTGGAAGCCGGAGGGCCCAATGGACCTAATAGCCCTGGATTACGACTACTACATCGCTAAATTCGAAGCTCTCCGCGATTACGAATTTGCCAAATTTGCAGGTCCATGGATGATCTTTGACCACTATCTTGTTGTACAAGAATGGAAGCCAGACTTTGATCCCCTAGATGAAAGAACTGACAAATTACTAGTATGGGTTCGCTTTCCAACCATCGCAGTTGAATATTATGATGAAGAAATCTTGAAGAAGATGGCTCGAAAAGTTGGTCGCCCAGTGAAAGTCGATACTTCTACGGGTCGCGTATCAAAGGGAAGGTTTGCACGAGTTTGTGTAGAAATTGACATTACGAGACGTCTGCGCTCAAAATTCTCCCTGGAAGGGAAGGCTCGTCCGGTTGAATACGAAGGCATGCATCTCATATGTTTTGGCTGTGAATTGTATGGGCATCGCTTGGACCAGTGCGGCAAATCTAACAATTCAGACACTACCCCTGATGACGACCCAAGCGAACTGGCGCAGAAGGAAGGACCGGCACCACCATTGGTTCAGCAAGCTAAGCGACCGGATCTCACGGAAAAATTTGGCCCTTGGATGATCGTAACACGTAAAGACAGAAGAGGCCCAAGACAAGCTAACTAGCGGGTTAATCTTGCCAATACCTCAACGACAGAAAGACCTCAGAGTTCCGCTAAAGGAAAAGAGGTACAGCAACCGATCTTTCAAACACAGTCCCGCTTTACGCCGCTCGCCAACCTGAGCGGTGAAAATTTGAACCCAATTCCCAATCACCAGATGGCCTCTTCGTCCAGGACCACTCCAGAGTTTCATTTTCGCAGTATACCTATCACATCACAGACCCAGAATCAGCACAATCTACCAGTGGCAGGGCAACCGGTTGGGGAACTCCAACAAGAACTACCGAGGCCTCAAAGACAACCTCTTATCCGCCCCATCAGAAACACAGGCAGCAGGGGAAGTACTCCCAGACGAGCGACGGCAGAACAAGAGCATACCGTCGTCCGTAGTTCTGACAAAGGCGTAACCATAACCACAACAGTGGTTCACCATTCTGATGAATCAATGATGGCTGGCTTGGAGAGAACGGGAAATGTTCCCCCGGACAAGCCTCCTGACCCATTGGAAAGCTCTAAACCACCAGATACGGCTATGGATGATGCAGCTAATATAGTTGATATGGTTAACTCCTCCAATATTGGAGATCTTGAGGCCGATTATCCCATGCACGCTTGAGTGCATTTATTCCTCATCCTTTATTTTTTCATGATTATTATTACTTGGAATTGTCAAGGGGCGGTGTCTAAATCGTTTCACCGTTCTCTTAAACAACTAATCCGGGATTTTTCCCCATCTATTTTATGCTTATTTGAACCTAAGGTTTCAGGTGTGCAGGCGAATACCATTTGTTCGAGCTTCGGTTTTAAGGATTGGCTAAGAGTCGAGGCATTTGGCTACTCAGGTGGTATCTGGATTTTTTGGGATAGCAGTTGCTCTCTGGATATCTGCCTCACACACCCCCAGTTTGTATTGATGAAAGTTAAAGAGGTCCACTCTATACCATGGTCCTTTGCAGCTGTCTATGGGAGCCCAAGCCTTACCCTTAGAAGGAAGTTATTCACTGACCTAACAAGACAAAGTATGGGCATCCACGAACCTTGGCTAGTTGCAGGCGACTTCAACTCTGTCACAAGCCCGGATGAAGTCAGCAACCCGGACAACTGGCATAGCTCTCGTTGTGCAGATTTTACAGACTGGATTTTTCAGGAAGGACTTATAGACTTGGGATTTTTGGGCACCAAGTTTACATGGATGAGGGGCACAAACCAAGCTTCCTTTAGAGGAGCACGACTGGATCGCGGCCTTTGCAACGCAGACTGGAAGATCATGTTTCCAGATTCATTGATCGAACACCTTCCCATACATAATTCGGACCATGCTCCCCTTTTAATCAGAACATCGCCGCCAGCCAATACTCCGAGTCCGAGGCCGTTCAGGTTTAACATGGCATGGTCGGCTCACCATCTTTTTCATTCATTCATCCATCAGACTTGGAACAAGGACATCGACCTCGAACTTAACAAATCTCTGATGGCCCAAGCTCTTACTGTTTGGAACAAGGAGACTTTTGGAAACATCTCTCACAGGAAAAGAAGACTAACAGCACGGCTTGGCGGCATCCAACGAAGACTGGCCGAGCAATGTAGCCCAAATTTGATCAAACTGGATCGCAAACTTCGAAATGAATTGGAGGATGTACTTTATCAGGAGGAACTCCTCTGGTTTCAAAGATCTAGAGAACAATGGATTGTATCTGGTGACTGCAACACACATTTCTACCATGTGGCCACCTCAGTAAAGAATAACTCCTCCAAAATTTCAAAACTAAGGGAGGACTCAGGTAATTGGATCACAGACGAAACAGTAATACGTGACCATATTCGTTGTTTTTTTGCAGATCTTTTCAGGGCAGACCAAGCTCATTCTGTCACCTTACCTCGCGGACGCTTCCCTCCTATACATGATGATGAATGGAGCGAAGTAAATAAACCATTTTCTCCCGAGGAGATTAAACAAGCACTCTTCGATATGAGCCCGTGCAAAGCCCCTGGCCCCGATGGGTTTAGCGCAGGATTCTACCAACAGACATGGCAGATTGTGGGAGACTTAATTGTCACATTCGCTAGCAAGTTCTTCGAAAATGGCTCCCTCCCCGAAGGAAGCAATGATACAATAATCACTCTAATCCCCAAAACAGAAAATCCAGAGACGGTTAGACAGCTCCGCCCAATTGGCCTATGCAATGTGACATACAAGATACTCACGAAAGCCATGACCTCAAGACTGAAGAACATTTCACAGAAGATAGTAGGCATGTACCAAACCAGTTTTGTACCCGGAAGGCAGATAACTGACAACATCCTATTATACCAAGAAGTCCTGAATTCATTTAGGACAAAGAAAGGGGCTGTTGGTTGGATGGTCTGGAAAATCGACTTGGAGAAAGCCTATGATTGCCTATCTTGGGACTTCATCCAAGATACATTAGAGGATATCGGTTTTAACCAAAGTTGGAGAAGAAATATTCTTGCATGCATCCGCTCACCTAGGATCGCAATAGCATGGAACGGTGAACGCTCAGATTGGTTCACCCCCGGACGAGGCATTCGACAGGGAGACCCTATATCACCATTACTCTTTGTTTTTTGTATGGAGAGATTAAGTCATCTAATAGAGCATGCAACTTCTGCAGGACAATGGAAAGGGATAAAGCTGTCAAGACAAGGCCCACTCATCTCCCATCTTTTGTTCGCAGACGACATGGTTTTATTCGGGGAAGCCTCGAGCAACCAAGCCGAGATTATGATGCAATGCCTTGATTCATTCGGCAATTCTTCAGGAGAACGAGTTAATCTTCTAAAATCATCCATTTACTTCTCAAATAACACCCAGGCTGATGTCCAACAGGCAGTACTAGATCGGACAGGCATCCCAAGAGTGAACGACCTCGGTAGATATTTGGGAGTTCCCTCCATTCACGGCAGATTAAAGGTTGATACATTTGCTGGCATCATTGATAAAATTCGTAACAGACTAGCTGGTTGGAGATCAAAGTCCCTCTCGCTGGCAGGAAGGCTTGTACTCGCTCAATCAGTCCTATCGACAATCCCCTATTATACTATGCAGACCACCCTCATCCCAAAAGGAGTAATCGCATCCATTGAGCGCATGATCCGAAACTTTTTGTGGGGTGCGAAGGAAGGGGAGAGGAAATGCAACCTCGTTAATTGGAACACGGTAACACAATGTAAGGACAGTGGTGGCCTTGGTATTCGCAGATTAGAAGAAATGAATATTTCCTTCTTTGCAAAGCTAGGATGGAGGTTAATGTCAGGTGATGATTCTCTTTGGGCTAAAGTGTTCAAAAGCAAATATGCCATCTCCAACCCAAACCCATTAACTTGGCGTCCCAAACAGAATATGTCCAATGCCTGGAAAGGAATCTTAAGAAGTGCCCCGGTAATTCATGCTGGTTCTATACACCAAGTTCATAACGGTAGAAATACTCTCTTTTGGCTTGATATTTGGATAGGAGATCGACCTCTTAGGGAATTGGCCACATACCAGATTTCGGAATTAGCTAGCCAGCTTACTGTAGCCGACTATTGGTCAGAACCTGATGGCTGGAAGTGGGATATTTTGGAAAACTGTCTACAATCCGCCACGCTCGATGCTATTGCGGCTACAATCGTCTGCCCAGAAGGTAACTTGCAAGACCAAGTTGTTTGGAGGGAGGAAATCTCAGGTTCGTTTTCTGTGTCATCAGCTTACGAGTTATTATCCAAAAACCAGAATACAACAAAGGAATTGGCTTGGGATAACATATGGAAGCTAAAAATTCCAACTCGTATCAAGACCTTTCTATGGCTTGTTAGGCACAACAAGGTAATGACAAACACCAACAGATTGAAAAGGGGCTTCACTACAAATGACAATTGTTGGTTTTGCACCAATAAAGCTGAAGACATAGAGCACGTTCTAAGAACCTGTCCTAAAGCTCGTGATATATGGCCGCATATCCTTCCCGAATTCGCACCATCACAGAACACCCTCCCCTTTAAGGAGTGGTTCGATCAAGGCCTTCTGAACATATATGATGGTAGACTCCCTTCCAGCTCTGCCAACCTTTTTGCTATCTCGGTTTGGTGGATCTGGAAATGGAGGAACGATGCAATTTTCAACAATCACGAACTTCCCCTCAACTTGAAAATCAGTTGGATCAGGAACCAACACAGAGAGATTGATTCAGCCTTTGCCAGAGCCTCTCATCCTAGTGATTCTCTGAACACTCCAGCTTGGAAACGTGTGACCTGGACCATACCTCATGGAGACTACACAAAGATTAATATTGATGGTAGTGTATGCCCTCAAACTCATGCGGTCGGATGTGCAGGCATTGCAAGGGACAACTCTGGAAATTGGATCGGAGGCTTCACCAGCAATATTGGTTCATGCTCACCTCTAATGGCTGAGGCATGGGCTGCCCTGAGAGGAATCCAGCTTGCCAAATCCCTAAACCTCCAACACATCATTCTAGAGAGCGATTCCAAAACCATAGTCGAAGGCATTACCGAAGACACAATGGTGAACTCCTCGGTACACAACCTTTTGGTAGCATGCAGACGTGAATTACAAGGCATTAGAGATTGGAGGATTGCTTGGATAGCTCGGGAACAAAATGGCGCAGCAGATGCTCTAGCCAGGATTGCAACTGCCCGTCCTCGCGGTGTCTACCTGATTCCTCTCCCCCCGGCTGAGATCGTTTCATTCTTAGAAGTAGATTATGCCTCTTTTCCTCTTTGGCGCTTTTCTGTTTCTTAAATCGAACTCTGTATCTTTGCCACTTTCATTAATATACGGGTATCACCCTCCTTTCTTTTTTAAAAAAAAAGATTTTTTAACTTATGTTTGCACATTCCATTTTTTCTGTGCTTTTTGAGGTTGTGAGTGTGTGTCTTATTTATTTTTGAAATAATGGTTAAATAAGCCATCGAACTGTCCACAATAACGCAATTAGGTCACTGAACCTAAAAAAGTTTATAAAAAAAAAACAAAAAATAAAAAAAAAAAAACAAAAAATAAAAAACAGACCGCCGGCCATGGATTCGTCTCCATGGCCTGAGACGTCTTCGTCTCTGGCCGACCGGAGACGAAGAGCTCTTCGTCTCCGGCCGGCCAGAGACGATTTGTATCTTTCTTTTTATTAAAAAAAATTAAAATAATTATTTAAATAATAAATATTTTTTAAAATATTTTAAATTAAAGGTAACATGCTAGCAACCTAGAAAACTTACAAAATAGACAAATTGCAAGAAAATGTCAGTTTAGGGATCTAATTGTAGCTTTTTTAGGTTCGGTGACCTAATTGCATTATTGTGTGCAGTTCAATGGCCTATTTGACCCTTATTCCTTTATTTTTTTTGTTGTTAGGGGTTGGGGTTTAGTGGTTGTGTGCTCTCGTGTTGTTTGTTGTGTGTATATTAGTGTCATGTGTTAGGTGTTGTTCGTTGTAGGTAGTTTTTTGGTTTGTTGTGCGTATTCTATTGGCATTTGCCACCTGCAATGTAGTGTGGCTCATGTTTTTAGTGTATGGTGTGCATTTCTTTGGTGCATTGTGCGCATTTTAAGGTTTTTTTTTTTTTTTTTTTTTTTTTTTTTTTTTTTTTTTTTTTATGGACTCGTTGGCAGTAGGAAAGCTTTCAATTTTTTTCTTGTGTTAGTTCATTGTTCCTCTTTTTTTTTTCCCTGGTGGGAGTGTGGTGTTTGGCGTCGGAGTGGGGGTGAATCATTATTACCATGAAATTTAAATTCTTTATTCAATTTCCTATTATTCTTCTTCTATGAAATTATAAATTTTAGATGGAAAAATAGAAAATAGTGATAATAAAACACATTTCCGTTGTATGTTTTCTATTTTCCATTGTTTTTAGAAAAATGATAGTCTTTAAAAAAAAAAAAAAAAAAAAAAAAAAAAAAACTAAACGTACTGAATCCTAGTTCTCTCATGGACCCCACAGTTATGATCTCCTAAGAGTGCGTCCATATATATATATATATATATATATATATATATATATATATATATATTTATTTATTTATTTATTTATTTATTTATTTATTTATTTATTTATTGTATGTTTTCTATTTTTCATTGTTTTCAGAAAAATGATAGTTTTTTTAAAAAAAAAAAACTAAACATACTCAATCCTAGTTCTCTCATAGACAACAGTTTTCCTGAGTGTGTCCATATATATATATATATATATATATATATATATATATATCGCAGGTGGCAATGTCCAATATTAACAATGATTAAAGAAAATACAATGGCAATTTGGTATTTTTGCATCTAGGTTAAATTTTAAGGTGCGTGGTTTTCCTTTCTTAATGTGTGTGATTTTTGCGCTTAAGTGCGTGGTTTTGTGCTGTGTGCTTAAGGTGCGTTAGTTGTCAAATCAAGTGCGTCGGTTTAAAGCTTTTAGGTGTGTGATTTTCTTTCTTTAAGGTGCGTTAGTTGTTGAAACTTAAGGTGCGTTGGTCTAAAGTTTTAGATGCGTGATTTTTCTTCTTAAAGTTCATTGTTGTATACCTTAAGGTGCGTAGTTATATATCTTGAATTGTTTGGTTTTACGCCATTGTTACAGAGTTGACAACCAAATTAATTTCATTAAATAATTTACACTTGCTAACATCATAAGCATGCATATATAGTATCCTTTGAGTTTCTCTGCAACCCCCCACCACCATTGACTTCCCTCCATTTTGATCGAAATCGTCATATCATTTAATTTCCATGAAGTTATCTCTCGGTAGTTGCAAACAAAGCCAAGACTTGCAGAAAACCATTACTAACTGCAAGGGTGAACAACATTGAGCAAACTAGAAGAAGCGCATCTTTTAATATAATTTTTCTAAATTCGAACCGTGGATCTAAATTAGATCAACGATTCAGATTTCACTTCATTCTGAGAGAGTTTTCGCACCAGAACCAACCCATAATTAAAATGTCATACTTATGTTTATTTGAACGTATATCTAACTAAATAAGTACAAATCTACATGTTGTTTAAGGTTTAGTCTGTAGGTCTGCAATCTTGAACTATATATATATAATTAACTTGCATATTAAATAGGTCTTTAAAAAGACTTTGAGTATGATCATGTCGACCTAAGTCTAGACTAGACTTAAAAAAAAAAAGGTTTAGACCCAAACTCAAGCTATTAATTCTAATAACAAGCTCAAGTTTAATTTATTAAAGTCCAATTCAACCTGAACTATTTCCACTTCTATTTATCATCCTAGAATTATCAAATCAGTGCAATGGTGTCTAATATGGGGTGGCATTGGATTATTGAGTAATTTGATCGTTTCTACTCATCCTAATTCCTAAAGACCAAATATGTAATTAAGAAAAAAATTACTCCGGTACAAAAAAAAAATTTTTACACAATATTTTACTTTAAAAAAAAAAAAATCAAAAACCAAACCCTAAAAATTCAAGTCAACTATCGACCTAGCAATGATTAGTAGAGGGGTGTGCCAGACTTGGGAATTGTAGTTCATGCATGTTCTTCCTAGGCACGTGACATGGCGTGGAGACCGATTAGAGCGGCACGTGCATACCACGTGAGAATTTGGGTCTACTGCCTACTCGTTCAAAGATGAAACAGATAATCTGGATCTAGATGATTAGATGATTGTTAGATTCATAACCTTCAAAGTCAATTTCTGATTTTGAAAATGAAAAAAATTATTTAAATTAAATATTTTTAATCATATATTTTTATCTAATATATAATAATATTTTTTGATTATAAGTAAATTAACTAATCACATCAAAATTAAAATTTAATTAAATGCATTCATGTTAGACTACCCATCAACATATCTTTATACAAGAGTATTACATGATATGAAATATTACATAATCGTCTTAAAAAGTGCGACTGAACGAGTGAAGTGTAATTTTCAATCTTCGCGTTAAATTATTCAGTGCACATCATTAGATAGTAACTATATATATATATATATATATATATATATATATATATATATATATGTGTGTGTGTGTGTGTGTGTGTGTGTGTGTGTGTGTATGTGTGTGTTATAGTACATATTTATAAAAAGAGAAAATTTCAATTTTGGTCCACTGACTATTGGGGTTGTGTTAATTGCAACACTTGACTTTCAAAAATGTTAATTTAAGACCTTGACTATGCAATTTCTCTCAATTTTGGTCACTCCGGCCAAATTACCGGTCAAATCTCACCGGAAATTTTTAATAGGTCAAATAATGAGGGCTTTTTGGTCATTTTACCTTTTCCCTTTCTTCCCCGGCGAGCCATATGGTTGAACTCCTTAACAAACCCAAACCCAGAATCAAGAGTGGGTGTAAACAAGATTTGAAGCTGTACCTTGTCAACCACTCAAAAAGATGTTAAGAAACAATTAACCCAGTTCTCGAACCAAATGCATTATAATAAACTTTAAAAATGTGATTTTTAAGCGGAAAACTGTGAAGATATGAGAATTACCTGGTCTGAAGAGTCGGAAGGAGGAGGTACGAAGGAGCGGCTTCAACTTCTTCCGGCGTCACTAGCAACCCTTCCATCTCACCTGTTCTTTGTCTCTCACTCTCTCTTAGCTTCTACACTTGCAACGGCTTCAACTTCTTCTCAGAGGTCTTTGGATTTGATTTATATGCGACGTTTTGAAATTGGGAGTGCACAGCATACACAGTATTATTGTTGATTTATATTATTAATTGATAAACCTTGTTACAGGTTCGATTTCTTGTTGGAAATGGAAATAAGCTTATGGGAGAAGAAATCCTCGCCGGAAATAGATAGAAGCTCATTGGAGAAGAAAGGGGCTCATCAGAGAAGAAAGGGGTGGGGAGTGAAATGACTAAAATACCCTCGTTATTTGACCTATTAAATTTTTCCGGTGAGATTTGGCCGGCAATTTGACCGGCGTGACCAAAATTGATAGAAATTGCATAGTCAAGGTCCTAAATTAACATTTTTGAAAGTCAAGTGTTGCAATTAACACAACCTCAATAGTCAGTGGACCAAAATTGAAATTTTCTCTTATAAAAATAATGAATACGCGATTAATGAGAAATAATTCTATTTTACAAATTAAGTCGTCAAGACTCGAGATGTCAATCAATGACGTGTTTGAGATGGAAAGAAAAAATATATAATATTGTAACCAAATAAATAATGCAATGGAGCCAATTGACATTATGGTCGTGTAACATGAAGTGACTCTCCCAAATAGGAGGTCATGGGTTCAAGCCTCGTGCTTTTGAGAAAGTATATTTGAACAGATACTAGAATGCAACAGAGTAACTGCAAATCTAAATTATGTAATTAATGTTGGTGCTATAATAAACTAGGATATTGAGAAATGTTCAAAAACTAACATATATTGGTTCCATTACTCTATGCTTTGATAGCAACGGAATGGTCACAAATCAGCACACTATCTTAATTCTTAATTATCTAATAACTTGTAAAATCAAAAATCAAAATCAAAATATTAGGAGTACCAAAAAAAAAAAAAAAAGGAATGAAGATCAGCACACATGATAGGCAATTATAGGAGAAGTATTACTACTTCCCCATGTATATAATACAAAATACTAACAGCTAACGAGAGTTGTTCGTCGGAATTGGTGTAAGTCAGTGGTGCGCGGTGACATTGGGCGCCGAGTGGGGCGGAAGCGCCACCGGTTTGGGCGGCGGCTTGCATTGGTAGCACTTGGCGAAAAGCCCGAACGTGTCCACTTGTTTGACGAAATTGGTGATGCTGG